TAGATTTCTTTTAATTTTGGCAAACATTTTAATTAACAGAAGAACCTCAGGAAATGTAGAAGATGGATGGAAACACCTTCTTCTCTGTCAGGGGAATAAAAATTTCCTAGTATGAAAGGAGAGAAAGGCTTATTCTGAAAAAGCAGTCATTTCAGAGTTGCCTTGATTTTTCTCTTTCACACCTAACTCACCAGAGTTTAGATTTTTCAAACCCCTTGACACTAGATGCTACCTTGGAGCAAGTAGTTTCACAAATTCCTGATTTTCAAGTTCTGTAAAATGAATTAAGTTCATAGCCCTTGCTCAATAGAGCTTAACCTTCAAAATATGGATGTTTATCTCTCAGTATGTTTTATAAAGTTTACCTAATAAAGAACATTTTATCAGTCACCTAAGGATCCCTGGTGGCCATAGTGGTTAAGCACTTGGCTGCTAACGGAAAGATTGGTGGTTTGAACCCATCAGCCGCTCTATGGGAGAAAGATGTGACAGTCTGCTTCCATTAAGACTTACAGCCTTGGAAACCCTACGAGGCAGTTCTACCCTGTCCTATAGGGTCACTATGAGTCATACCAACTCCATGGCAATGGGTTTGGTTTTGGTTTTATCAATCACCTAAGTTTAAGAAGTCTGCTGAACTTTTCCCTCAATCACCATAATTAACAGAGTGTCCCCAAAACATCAGGAGGCTCCCAGCTCCCCTGCCTTTGCTGCCACCCAGCCTGTGCAGCAGCATGACCTGTCACTCATTTAGGATTAAGTAGCTGCCAAATTAAAATGCTACGTCATTACTGCTAAAGTTTACTTACAAACCTCTGAAAAAAGGGGTATGCCCTTTTTGTGAATGGGGATATTCTCTTAGCCAGGATAGATCAGATCTTACAATTCTAAATTTAAGACACCCCTCTAGTGATGAGTATAATAAAATTTACTCATTAAAAGAGCATTTAAGTCAACTATCATTTTTTTTGAAATTCTATAAACATAGTATATTTTAAAAGACACCTGATTCTCCCAGTGTTCTGCACACAGTCGTTGAGTCAATACTAATCAATCAACAGGAAGACTGTACCCAAAAGGATAAGTTAAATTCCCAAAGTGAAATCTTAATTATGTTTTAAAAGTCAGAAAACTGAAGTGATTCTGTTATTTTATGGCATAATGATTTCTAGTGCTGTTATGATGTAAACAGAATGTTGTTTTACAAACCTTTTGTTTTCTAGACTTGTATTGCTACTCATGAATCTAATGGGATTGACATCATCATTGCTTTGATTTTAAATGACATAAACCCTCTTGGTAAATACCGAATGGACCTGGTTCTCAAACTAAAGGTAAAGTAAATCCACTGTTCAGTGAGAAAAATTTACATTTTCTATATAAAAGTCCAAGGAACTCTGGTGGCACAACTGTTGAGCACTCTGCTGCTAACGGAAAGTTTGTCAGTTCAAACCCATGAGGTGGCTCCATGAAGAAAGACGTGGCAACCTGCTCCCCCTATAGGGTAGTTCCACTCTGTCACATGGGTTCACTATGAGTGGAAATTGCCTCCACGGCTCCCAACAACAACAGTATAAAACTCCCTTTCAGAGTTGACTCACAGTCCTCAACTAGCTCTTTAAAAAACCCCACAATATTACATATTTTCAACTGATTAATTGATAGAAAGAGATAGTGAAAGTATAAAAAAAACAAAAACCAAACTCGTTGACATTGAGTTGATTCTGACTCACAAGCGACCCCGTATAACAGAGTGGAACTGCTACATCTTTCTCCTGTGGAGCGGCTGGTGGGTTCAGACCGCCAACCTTTCAGTTAGCAGCCGAGCACTTGACCAATGAGTCACCAGAGCTCCTAGTGAAAGTATAATACTCACTAAATTGTTGATAAAATGTCAAATAAGCTTTGAGGTAATACTCAGTTGGAGAATATTTATTGAATGTTCTTTCAAGCAGCCCCTTTATGTTTCACTACTTCCCTTCTGTTTTTATTTTACATTTTTCATTATGCAAAGAAGCAAAAAGTGCTGAGCATTCACTACACCAGATATTTTTAATTCACCTTGACTACAGAATTCTACCTAGCAAGTCACAAATAATGAAACAATGAGGAAGGAGTGCTGTATTTTAGTTTTATGGTTCCTTCCTAAAAGTTGTTCTCTTTTACATTAGAATCTTATTTTCTCCCAAAATATTATAAACCATTTCACACTCCCTTTGAGAGATTCCTTTAACTCAAGCCTTGTACACACTTCCCAGCAGTTCCATTAATCAGAGCTCAGGAGTACAATGGCATTTTAAAAATTTATTTCATTTAATTATTCAAATGGAAACAGACAAATGAATGTACACAATAAACTATATAAATGCCCAATGCTAAGGCATGATATTCAACTGAGATGAATTAGTAAAGATTACATTATTGTACTGAATGTTAAACAGGTAAAAAATATATCATTGATTAAATATAATTTCCTGTAAAGACAGATCTAGCCAGTATCATAGAGATTATAATTCAATTGAACTTTGTATGGGTAAATTTATGGCCGAGAAGAATAAGAATGATATTTTTATAATTCTGTTTCTAGATATAGATTTAGATATGTAATGGGATGCACATATGTTCTGCTTATTTGACGATTGTGCTAATGGCTGTTAGTAAGCAAATGTTTCTTTTAATAGGAGTGATGAGTTTGTACTTTTCCACTTTTTTTACATTTGCAACACGTGTAAGGTTTGGGTCCTTCCATTCGTAGATTAGAACGAAGGTGATCCTTGTGTAGTTTGAACTTGTACCTTTCACCTCATTAACATCATGCTTCAGTTAGTGAAGTCAGGCAAGG